TCAAGGAGGGAGGTATATTCTCTTCCTACGTGGTGATCCCAAGTACTTCATTGGTCGTCAAAGGGTGTAGAGAACGCGAATGTCCTTGACACAGAACCAGTGGTCTGTGAACCAGACTCTAGCGCCGGAAGCTTACTTTATTAGCGAAAAGTGAAAGTGTTGGGACTACTTTAGTTAGTTTGTCAGTTTCTGGAAGAACCAGGACACACTAAATTCCAAACATTCCATTTTACACCGTGCCAACGTGGAACAGGCAAGAAATTTCCAACATTACAATAGAAGACAAGTTATTGGACAGTATGCTTCCGTCAACCCTTCAGGTTCGTCAATGCAGTCAACAACATTTAAAATATAAAGTTAATATATACTGAACAGTGTTGGTTCACCAACATATCACAACCATGACTTGGTCAATTCACATTGGGATATGAAGTTGTGAGCGATGAACTCTCATAATGCCATAATGGGAGCGACGCGCATCAACACCAGGATGGCCGGAGTCAGAGCCAACCATAAATGGCCAAAGGTTATTGCGACCGTTTTCTAGTTCACGTTTCTGATCTTCGACACTGATATCCCAGATTGATATCCATCAAAACAACTTCTCAAGCTCAAAAGTTTGTACCTACTCCTCGCGGAAGACGTGTCATGTTGCGAAACGGAAATGAGACTTTTGACGGTTTAATCTCTAAAATACATTACATGGGAGCTCGGGTGGTTAATGTGCGAACGTAATGACCCGGAGCTTCGTAGTTCGAACCTAACCTCAGCATCTTAACTGCTCTTAGCCAGGCTTGGGAAACTTGGCAGTATCTCAGTCCTTCTGGTGATATGGTGGTTAGGCACAGAGAAGGTGCTAGAGCTGAGCGAATGCTATCCATTTACCTGAAACATGACATGGAAAGTGCCGTTTGTGGTTGGTTAAATGAAACGACGAGTGACACTACACTACAATGCTGAATCATCTCCAGTAGCGATATTTTAACCAAACGAAACGAGGCGTTTTGAGTGGTTTTGTTCAAGAACTTACCAATTAATTAAGTGTATTTACCGGAGCATCCGAAATAGAGAATTTACGAAAAGCCACTGTTCGCCAAAACGTATCCTAAGGTACCAAAGGTGTAGGAAATGTCTGATGAAACTACACCATGCACAAAAAAGTAATTATCACAGAAAAAGCAACAGCTGGAACCAACTGTTGCTTTCACGCGAAAAGGCAGTCTTCTTTTACGAATGACAGTTACTGTTGGCACTAACTTCCTCGTCCGTCGTCAACAGGTCAAACATTAGGCTGAGATAGGCCACAACCGGGGCGAACGATGTCAGTCCACTTAACAGAGGTCCATGAACAACGGGATCCAAGCGCGAATCTTCTGGCAGAGAGACAAGTGTCCGCCAAATCATCTCCATCCGTTTCCCGTAGGCATGACTGGTTCGAACCAGGATGGATGGCCGGAGTGTAGCGTGGGGTTCGGGTGCTGTGTAAGTACCACCATTGGCTGCTTGCACTAAAAGTTGGAGTGCGCGCGATTCACAGCCCAAGGGTCGTTTGACTGCTCCGATTCCAGGGAAGACACCAAGTTCCAAATCAATGTAGTGCTGTGAACGAGGAGATTATGGATACCAAATGGGACAAGTCGGGACAACAGGATGAGGAAAGATTAGCGACAGGACAAAGAATAGAAGGAGTGTAAGGAGCTGACCTAGATGAACTAGTCCTTTAAATGTAATCAAAATGCAGATGCATCACAGCGAACATTGATAAGCTTGGAAACTAAGCTATGCCAGTTTCGAATCAAAGGACCTGCTTAGTTAGGATGTATGGGGTTAAAAATAATGGGAATGAGGCATAGCGTGTCTGGAGAGGGAATGTTTTGCTGGGAAACGCGGCCTGTGGCAAGCGATGCATATGAAGAAGCCAAAGCATCGTTTCAGCGAAATTGCAGCAGCATGAAACATGACCGGACAGAGAAAGGGAAGATCGAAGTGTTGGCTTGTTCACTGAGCTGGCCAATTTGGTTGCAAACGTTTCATCACCAATCGAAGTGACATCATCAGTGGTTGTGACACAACCACTAACCCACCGCCACGCACAACTACGCACTGATGATGTCACCTTGATTGGTGATGAAACGTTTGCAACCAAATTGCCAAGCTCAGCGAACAAGCCAAAGACCATCTACGCTACCTGAGCTACCGACATTCTCCTCTAGAGAAGAGCGAAGTGTCTTGCACAGCTTGTAAGACTGTGCTGATCCACGCCTATTCATGAAGATGTATGACTGTTACCCATCTGCACTCAATTGTCAGTTGAACCGAGGTGATTCAGATCCCCCACTTACTTGTAGGATAACAAAACTGCTGGTCAAGTATTTGCGAAATTTTACTGAAGGCTAAAACGTACGTTGTGCTCGTGCATTTTTTGTGGTTGATAAAACAAGCAATTCGTTAGCATAAATACAGCAGTCAAGACCGGATCACTGACTTATGTCACAGTGAGCTCGAGAAAGCTCAGTAGATAAGACGTGTTGCAGTTGAACACTTATTTGTTATTATTATTATCACGTGAAAGTCAATGTTATATAGGCGCTCAAATATTTTAGGCGTCCAGTCGTTTCCCATAAAACAGCATCAGCTTAACTCGATTTGAATATCTCGTTTCAGTTCGTTCCAGTTGTTCGAACCGGACCCCTGCGTTTCGGCTTCTCTTATCTAAGCTTGGGCAAGCTGGCAGTATCTCAACCCTCGTGCTTCCTTCGGGTGACACCGAAAGGGTGTTACAGCTGAACGAGCACAGCTCAACTTCCCTCCCACTTCAACCATGTACACAGCCCACAATGTTCTATCTCATTCATTCGCTGTAAAATGTGATGGGTCCCCAAAAATCTTATCCAACAAAAGTTCTTTATCTGTTAATGACGGAAACGAGGGTGTTCGGCAACATGAGTACCATAGCCACAGGACCGATCCATTTCACATTAGCTTGATGGACCCCAATGAGAAACATAGAGGCCCGTGTGGCCGCGCTTTTCTTTGTCAAAACGCCTATTGAACTGCAGGCTCATAGGTGGGAACTTAGGAGTCCTTGTGGCGATTGATGACAAGTTAGGATACACAGCTTCCATGAGTAGTCGGACTGAACAGGGAAGTCAATAGCTACTGATTAGAAAGGATATGACCCTGCGCACCTAAGGAAACTATGTTCGAGAAGTAACCAGAAATGTTTCATGAGGGGAAGAACGGTGGCGCTTTTTTTTAGTGTTACTATCATAAAGGCGTCATTCCAAGCTTACCTGAATCAATTTGAAACGTGGTGCAAGTGACTGATCGTAAAATTGTATTAATGCGTCGTTGACCACGTCAGCAGGAGGGGATGAAGCGTCATCCGGAATAGGATAGGTGGTGAGTGCTGTATCAAAAATGCGTCTGGATTGAGACACCATAGTCTCTAGCTCTTCTTGAGCAACATCAAGTCTGGTGAATAAAAGAGCGGCTTTCCAGAATCCCATGGCGTATGACTGCCAAAGTTCTAGGTCATTTTGATTTTGGGCCTCGGCCATGACGGATCTACCACAGTGCCGCCACGTAGCAATGACAGTCTACAGTGCAGTGAAGAGGAAGGAAACAATGATTTTAGAAAGACGAACGTCAAATTAACAGTGGTTAAATAAACAGTTCACAGAAACGTCAGTGGTTTTAGGTTGATGAAGGCTGAAGCACTTATGAAGAAGGAGTAAAGTACAAATGATTCATGCGGATTCACACGGAAGGTTCGTTCACACGGAAGGGTTTGCATGAAATCCAGCTCCGATATGTTAGCTTCCTGATGAGGAAGCCGTCGAGGACTTAAAATGTCAGCAGGCTGAAAGAACACGTAGACGGCGCCACAAGATACGTAAGTCTGTGGTTGAAAACTTCACTTATACTGATTTCCATTTCAGAAGTAATGTAAGCTTCCTGAAATGTCAAATCATGCGCGTCGGGGTTACAATAACAAAACATTTTGGGCGCCGTGCTTCACTTCCGAGTCCCGGAACAGAACCCTACATCCGTTCTCTACATCATTGGTCAGAATTTCGAGTCCAGGGCATAGTGTTCACACCTGCAGCTCGTCTAAAATCTCTGCTCATCCTTTAACTAGACAGTGAGGAGAGTGAAATGCGCAAAAATAGATGACATGAGGAGGTTATGATGCCTTGCATCGTACATCGAACGAACCACATATCAGAGCTTTTATAAGAACATAGAACGAAGGGCGAACACATCCAAACTGCGGACACGCAATCAACACCACAATTGTTCTTACACTATTGGTAATCATGTAGGAATGGATACAGTTTTGTAAGCGTTTATCGTTTCCCTTCTAATAATACCCAGTGACCACCCAGAACTGTCACCTCAGTCATTAGTGGGTACTAATATATCAACTGGAGTCAAGCCATACTCTTCAACAGGTGTGGGCGGGCGAAGGAGTATGGATCGGTCGGTGAACGTATGACGGAATATTTCAACCGCGTCTTGCCACAAAAAATTACCAGCATTTTTACCTCCAGATCAGCACAATTCGAAATTATACATAAGAGTTCCTTGAATATGCTACCGTCAGTAAAGCCAATACCTATTGTAGTAGAGGCTAAGGATGGCATGCGTGCTTCATTAATAACTTGTGAATGAGGATCCGAGTTGACGTCACGAAACATGCTTCGTTCAGAAGCACAAGATCACACTGCTACGCCGCTCACTCCTTGGTTCTAACAGCGCCGTGCAACTGAGTTCTATTGATGTCGGAAGTACCATATGTAGACTCGTTTTGGCTGTTTTCAAGTTTGACGTGACCATTGTGGCTTCCCCAAGATACTGAGGTGTTCCGTTCAGAGTACAGATAGCAACAGCTACGCTGGAAACATCACCATGCTGCTTGCGGACACAAATGCTCATGCCAAACACCATATGAACTTATAGTCCTCCCCATTTTCAACGTTCTAGGACAGCCCAGTAAGTTAAGGAACGTCCAACACATCTAACCGGAATGCGACTGAACCAACGGAAGGATGCCCACTACGAGAACACTACGTGTGTTTGGGACGGCATGAAAACCGTATTTTAATAAGTGAACCCGTGCTTACTCAGTGTAACTCACCGACGCACTCTGTAGGGTACCCAATAGGATGGCTACGTTGAGATAAAATACTACCACTTTAGGTGACAATCCGCCGAATATTTCCCAAATATAATAAGAAATCCCAGTCACCTTGATAGTACCCTTCGTTTCTCATTATTCCTTAACACTAGATGGTAGCGCTTTATTCTTCGAGGCGCAGAATTTTTTTTCCATCGCCCTCCAGTGAGGAAACAGCCCTGCTGAGGAAGCGCTTTCGGATCGTCCGAAGCTGCTTCCCCTGAGCGATGGGAGTACTGGAACAGATAACCGTATGCCCAAGAATCTCTTACAGAATTACTGTAGTTCCCTTCGAGAAGTTACTCTGAGAGCAAAACAGAAATACGGTGCCTCCGACCTATGAGAAAATCCTAAATTAAAAAAGAAAAATTTTGGATGCGCGGGATTTTCCCCTATTGAAATCCTCACCTGAAGAAGAAAACCCACCAGAACCGAAAGAGAGGTACGTCTTTGTTCCACGAATTGCTGATTTACTTTGTAAAAAGAAACAATAGACCCAAAATACCTCATTCTTTTGAATCACATTTACCGTCGTGTCAAACTTTAACTTCATAAGCATTGAGGGATACTCTTTGATAGGCTTGGCCCTTATTTCAGCTTAGGACACATGCACAGCAATACTTGCCAAACCATGTCACAGATAGAATAAGGAATGATGATAACGAAATTGGGACATAGCATGGAGCCGTGCAAGATAGTTCGACAATTACCGATATCCCGTTAATTACCACTGCTATGTCAGAATACACGCTCAGGACAGATTGTTTCGTTATTTGGCATTGGCCACGTTTAGCTGGATGACAAAATTCGTCCGTTGATGGGGACTGCTAAAATGTTCGCTAATATGATTCACTCAAAGGTAAAATGCTCCACCGCACGTGATATGGCATTTATTGTGATACCCCTGACGACCGTAGAAGGAATAACCTTGAAAACTTGCCTTAGTGGACAAATTATGGGTCTGGATACCGTCCAGTAGGCGATCCAGAGCTAACTGGAGTCGTAAGCGACCGATGACGGTTGCCCATTGCGTTTGAACCTCCTTCTTCCATCGAGTCAAATGGCTGACTTGGATAAGAGCAGAATCGAGAAAGCAACGTCTGGCCTGTGCCCAGATTTCTTGATGACTACCTGCCAGATGGGCAAATTTGTCTTTTACGCCAGTCGAATCCTGTACAACCGAACCAGCATTTTGACCAAACAGAGGAGACAAACCCTGACGTTGGATGGGACCGATATGGGTTAGGTCATGGACAACACGGAGGTCTGAGGAGGAACACAGGATGAACACTTGATAGGACGATAAGGAAAACAAGTTGAGTACCAAGTCGAAAAAATGATGTAAGATTAAGGTAAACATGACTCTGAAACAGTAATAGCATTCTGTCCAGCAAACAAGTGGATTGCCTAATTAGCTGAATGGAGCGGAAAGCAAAACATCTTTGATGCGACTGATCACTACCTGGACTAAATACTCCCATGTTTTTGGATGTGAACATTCGGTCGTTGGTATTGTACGCTGAGCTAGGTAAACTGGCTGAAAACATCCGGTCATCGGTACAAGAACTTCTTCAAGAGTACTACCGGATTCTCTGGGGCTTCCGATGTAGTGAGTTGAACAGAAAGACGCAGTTCGTTTATTGCTTTGGCCCGTCACTTCCAAAAAGTTGAAAAAAAGAAATTGTCTTATGTCTAGCTGCATTCTGAGCGACTAGTCGCGGAGTTACCAACCCATAAAATACTTGGAAATTTCTCCGCTGTTCACACTGAAAAGGACTACCATATGTAGATTCGGAATCAAAAGGTGGGACCTGAATGGATGGACTGAAACATTACAGTGCATATGTAGACTGAAGAAAGGGCATTACCGGTACTCAATCGGCCAAGTCGAAACTACCACTTTTAAAAGCATGGCTGGCTGAAATTCACGAAACCAGACCACCATGCGTTGCCACCAGAACCTAACGAGGCATCGACGTTCTAAAAATTGATACATGAACTATCTGAAATGAACTCTCTCTCTCTCTCAAACCTAGGATAACGAGATTTTGATAGAAAGGAACCTAGTCATCACAGTCAACCCAGTCATTCTATGGTAATCGGGAAACGAATAAACAACCTGTATTATAGGAGCGGGAATCTGTGTTGTGGTTAAACTGACCTGCGGGAAGTTGGAACGCTTTCGCTACATCCGGCTCGTAAGCGCCCAGAAATTCCAAGCATTGGAGAATCAGCCGCTGTTGAAGTGCAACCAGACGACTTTGTTTATCCCCACTGGGCGGTGCGGCTTTTTCGTCCAAATTATACAGTTCTAACAAGCAAGGCTTGACATCATCGAAAAGAACGAGACGATCTGGGTCTTCCTCTTCCACATCGGTGTTGTTCAATGTGTCTGCAGGCAACCACCCCACTGCTTCACGTGCTCGTTCTAAGCCTACCCAAGCTTTTCCACGTCTATACTGTACAGCACGGCTCTTTCCCAGTGAAGCATTGCCAGCGAGTGAGGGTACAGCTCCTCGACGTGTCCACTGATCTGCAGATACCGCAGATGAGAGTACAGATGGTACAATCTCTATGTCGAGTTTCTGTTGGGCGTCGTCAGTCAGTAGTTCGGCCGAGCATTGAATGAGGGCATCTTCGCACGTGCTGGCGATCGCTAAGGCAGGAGAATTCGAATTTGTATAACGAAAGAAAAGACAGAAACATTCGTGGTACAGAGTAACACATCGGATTCAGTTTAGGTGAACTGGTCTTTTTTGTATCTCATCCTGAGACTCAAACATATGTACAGATAAAAGTGAAAAATTCAACATTCGAAATTTCGTATAGTAAGGCAAATAGCGTGTAGTTAAGTAGGATGATTTCTTCCAACAAATCGACGACCTTGTGACAATGAATAAGTCTCATGACTGATAACGTCAAAATGAACATGAAGTTCCCGGCCAGGTAGGCATCTAATCATCTACTGGGACCGCAGAAATACAACAGGACGAGGGCTCATTAGTTAGGACCAACAGTTGAAAAGTAGTCTGCCGAATGCAGCGCAGGAGTTCAAAAACGCAAAAATTTGGCTTGTCTCTGAGTTGTTACGATCCAACAGACAACAAATTCAAGATTATCCGGGGAGAAAATCCTGCAGTGCCAATCCAGCTACAGTGATTCACACAAGCAAGAAATGAAGCTACACAGGCCGTTGTTCCGTTCCGGCTGGTGCTCATACTATCAGCAGGCTATAAATGACTTGACTGGGCCAGATCAAGGTCACAGAAGACCCGCGACCAACTAGTTAGGTGTGAGCTCCTCAGGAACCCGAAATCGGCTTCAGTGTGCACATTAACTGTGAGCGGCTTATTTCCAGCGAAAGGCGCACATACATGTCGTCAACTTTCATGGGGTAAATAAAAAATATGTGGAACAACTTACATTTCAGCTTTTCTGCCACCTCTACCCACTTCGACTGTGACTGCTCAACGGTAGCATCCGGCTGTAATTCCTCCACAGGATATAAACCGGAAGGTGGCTTTTTCGATTTCCTGCTAACCTGCTGTCGTTGCTCTGCAGAATGGCCACGACGATTTGCCCGATACCAGCCAGACCAATGCTGCGACCCCGGCTGGCCAAAACGAGCGGCTCCACTGGACCAAAACAACTCCATTTCAAGCAAGCACTGATCAGTGGGCATACCCGTTAAGTCCGAAGGGCGAAACAAATTGAATTCAATGACAGCTTGCCACGTGGCCAAAGCACGTTCTGCGTGTCCCGCCTGAACAAGCCAGCGACAGTAGTCAGCCAAAAAATCTAAGGCGGAAGCAAATTGGAGTAGATGTGCGCTTTAAAATTTATTATAATACGAGTGTTTTTAAGAAGTTTTCTACTGAAGTAATGCAGGAAGTAGCCTTGTTGATAGGTCGTCTGTTTTTTTGGCCGAATTATTTCATCATTTCTCCGGACAGCTTGAAGGGTCACGTCATTAAAAAAATACGAAGACGCAATGTACTGACGATAGCAGTCGTTTAGTGAACATCTAAATATTCATGCGGTCGAAATGCACCTACACTGTTCACGCACACCTTTATTACTTTATTTGCACTTGGTTGAGTTAGGTTCGAATATATGCGAGTCATTGAGGAGTGTTTACCGACTGCAGTATGCTGTCCTTCGTGTCTACAAATCCATCGACTGACTATATATATATATATATAACAGTAAGTCCCGAAAACAAGAGTACCTTCGCAGATGTGCCTCAACTCTGAGTCAACAACGGTGTCAATGTAACACTGATAAAAATTTCAGAGTATAATGTTGGCGAAAGCTCTGGGACTTCAAGAATTACAAAACCGGTTGCGGGCTGTTGCAGGGTCTCCAACAACCTTATGGGCAGTAAATTTAGGCAAGAACAAATAAGACACCGTCCGTATACGTACCTATAGCTTGTTCTGCAGTGTCCGGTTGAGGTCTATGAGACAGTATCCGACCGCAAATGATCCCCGCCAGTGTTGACAATGCCTTCTTGAAAACGCTATCGATTCGAGCAAAGAGACCACTACCAATTGTTGGAGTCGCAGTGGGTGGAGTGGAATACTTCCCCATTAAGTGTGTAATATAGCCTCGCCATACGGGAACTAGCTGCGGGTAAGTGAAAACCAACTGGGCCCAGTCACGCCCAACACGTTCTGGCTGAAACAAACTATCTTTCGACTGACACATAGCTCCGGAAGCGCCCTGCGATTGTAACTCCCCAGCCATTTCACCGATTCGGAGAGTGAGAATCTTTAAAGACAGAGAGCCAGGGTTTGAGGTTAACGCCCGCTCAGCAATCGACAGTTGTTTCTGCAATATCAGCAATCGATCGCCCATGGTCAATGAGGCAGGTATGTAGGTCACCCTCACGGAGGATGTGGCAGATTCGGTTACGTGGAGAAATACAGCTTCTTTGGCTTGCATGTCCATCAGTTCTAACCAGGCACGGACATCGTTTGGGGCATCATACACCTTTCTATTCAGTGACTCACAACGAGTCAGAGCAACGTTGGTAGATTCATTCACGGGATTGGAGACAGAAATATAATCCGGCAAAAAGCGCAAGATGAGCTGGGTATCCGAAACAACTTCACTGCTGGGGAAGTTTTGCGCTGGCTTTGAAAAAACCGCACGGCTTGCCTTACTGAAATACCGCGACTTCTTGACACGTTTAGTGGAAGTTTCTTTCTGTTGTGCATCGCACAAATCACAGACGCGAAGACTCCGGAATCCAAGGATCGGTGTGTTTGGTTTACGACGAAATTGCGCAACATGTTTTTCGTATATTGAACCAAATGTGTAGATTTGCCGATTCGAGGACCGGTCTAGATGGTAAGCGTCAGACAAACTCAAACCAGGTACATCCTCAAGGAAGATGGCTTTGTTAGTCGGTGCCGGTTTCTTCTTCGGGGGTTCAGAACTAGCCCTATGGGGATCGGGCCGCTTTTCACCTGTAAGGACGAGTTTTTTGCTCGGTGCGGTCGGTTTCAAAGGAGCTAAAATGAGTCCGAATAGACAGTGACGAATTGGCATTTACCTTTCACGGGAACCGGAAATTTTTCCGATCTTTCCGAGTACGTTGAACTGTGCAACCAGGCCTTATCTGTGTCCGCATCAGCAGGTTTCTCTGTGGTATCCGACGCAATAATCCCTGCCGGAAACATTCCATCAACAATAAAGCCTAAAACATAGGCATACAATAGATAAACGATAAAATGTTGCAAGAATGGCAACAACAAGACTATCGGTTGAGAACTCCAATGATTTTAAAACTTCTGTAGAAGATGGTTCACCCAAAAGCCGAGATGTACTCCGTGAACATCTGAGTTGCTTATAGAACTCAGAAGGTAAATACAATTCATCCAATAACTGAAACTTCCAGTTTAAAATTCATTACATGAGGAGCCAGTCAACAAGTTACCATGTGACATGGATCCCGTGATTGTAGGGTTCGATGCTATATTCTGCTAATGGCACTGCTGATCAGCCGTTCGTGACCGAAGTGTTCAAACCACTGGCTGGGAGATCGCAGGTATACGACTCCCTAGAGTTTCGCGAGGTGCGCACTACCGATGATTGCCAATAAGGATGCGACCATTGCGCAGCGCTTTTCCGATTTTCAGCACGGTTTGGCTTCACTTACAAGACGACGTCTCCAGCAAAACTCCCAGATTGGTTGAGGTGACATGCGTGGTGCCGGATATCACATAAACACAGAGTAGTCAACCAGATCGGATAGAATCTATAAACCAGATGACTCGGTGAAACCGGAGTAGGCTCTTCATCTCATATATGGTCATATTATCGGCAGGTATTCTAAAACCCCTCAAACGGAAATTTAGTAGTTACATTAAGAAGTCATATGACTATGCCAACAAAGTAGCGGGTTTCGCCGTAGAACCAGATGACATTCTTCCCCTCCCAATCTCCTCAATGAAAAGTCCACTGACAACCATGTATTTACACATCAATAACCGCTACCGCCTCCAATGCGCGGCTATCTACTCCACTTCCCCGAGTTACCGGTCGAAGAAACTGAGCAGCTGCAACCATTAATGACAAGAAAGTGGTTTTTACATCTGATGATGATATGACGTTATTGTAAGTGTCGTTATATACAAATGTGCCTGAAAGGGGATTCTTTAGACATAGCCAAGCGATTGCTATTGGTAAACACCACTCTTTCAGGATGGACACAATTTACAATAAATGAAATAGTATAAAGTATAAATAATAGTATGAATGATATAAATGGTATAAAAGCATGTCCGAATCTTTGTGGTTTACACTCAAAAAAAGCCCAGTAATTGGAGCTCCAATATCCTCGGTTTCGTTGAAGATTTTAAACGAAAGATTTAGTCGGACTTCCGTACCAATGCAAAATATTCCAGCCTTATGATGAGACAAAACAAAGTCAGTGAGTTTTACAGCTACCCGAATGACCTGAATCCACACATCAAATTTGGTATGGAGGTAGAGTCAACTTCGGATACACTGGCCCTAGACTGCATGATTAATAAATGTACTACAAGCAATTTTGAACTACTAGCCTGCCTATCTGAAGTCAGTATTCGCTAGTATTGCTTCATCAATGTTTAGGCGTGCTGTAACCCAGTGCACAGAAGTTGATCGGACAGCTGGCGAAATTGAAGTAAGGAACAAACTTCGGAGTAGATAATATCCAATTGGTTTGATTAGACATCCATTGCGAAGGGTGATCGTACGGGTGGCGAAACCCAACAGGGAATAAATTTGAAATGCCGTTACTTCATATAGACCAGAGAAATCGGAGATCATTCGAAGGATTATAAACATGGTTAACATAATAGTACCTTTCCAGAATGGAAACACTGCGCTCTGCACTGGTGTGATTGAAGGATTGCCTCCTGCCGAACTAAACCGGGGACTGTGTTCACAAGGTCTACATAGGACAGACGGCTAAGGAACTGCACAGCAGAGTCGAAGCGCACATGAGAAATATTAACAGGCCACCGAGGAGCGCAGATGAGTATCGAGCGTTACGGAAAAACTCTGCAATGACGGAACATGCAAAGGACATAGGAGACAAAAAAGGTCTAGAAAATGTTGAAGTTTTGAGGCGAGGACTATGGTACACCCTTGTCATGACTATCTTTTGTGTTCACATTATCGCTTCGAATTAACCATGCTTTCGCCTCCACGTACAGCTTATGTACGTCTATTCTGTCTTGTTCTCGCGTTCCATCAGGATCTATACTCCATCCGTCACAATATACCTGTATTTTACCATCACCATCAAAAACAGCAACATCAGTGTTGGCACTAAAACTTCACTGCCGTACAACCATAAGGTTCGTCTAATTATATTTAAAGCCCTAATAGTGAGGGAATAGAAACAGAGTGGGTGAGGGAGAGGACGTGGTGCTGGCCTATGTTAAGCATTCTGAGGTGCCTACAACTCCAACCGCTCAATCAAACTGAAAAGAAACTGACAGCACGAACGCCACTGACATCCATTAGCCGCCATTTTTGCAACGTCTCCAGCCAAGCACAGATGGAGTCACGGTGACCCCATCCTGGAAGGTGTACAACACCAACAGCACCCACCCTTCGTGATCTCCTTCAAGTTTTTCTGCCAAGTCATGCGCTGTCCATCTCGCTGTTTGCGCCATTCTGAAGGAGACACTAGGAACAACACTCGTCTCGGTAGACGAGTGGCATGCATTGCATACGACCGACACACCGTGGTCGGTGGTGCTGGATGTTTTCCCGGATTGAAAAACCTGCAGCGCAACCAAATACCCGTTTTCTAATCACCTCGTCACTAACACGCTGACGCCATCGAAAACCAGTCGCTCTTGAGGCATCGGTGGTCAAAACCCTGAAGACGCCTCATATAATTTGTCCGCAGAGGCCGTCTCGCACCCATAGAACAACACAGTCCTTACTGTAGCCTGGTACGCGCGACCCTTAAGATCTAGTGAGATGCCTTTTTGATGCCACAAGAGACGCAAATTGAAAAGCATAATTTGAGCCTTTGAGATTCTTGCACTGACGTCATCAGACACACTTCCGTCAGAGCTAATACAACTACCGAGCTGTGATTCTCCTTGAATTGTAAAGGATATTTTCGCAGATTATCAACAGCAGCAGCTGTAATAACCGCGCATTTGTCGTACAGTGGTTGTAGCTGCCCCAGTTTCGTTCACCGATGACTTGGGGAAGTGGGGTAGGTAGCTGCGCATTGGAGGCGGGAGCTGATCCATTAGTGCGTAAATACAGCACTGTAGGTAGACTGCTAAGTGGGGGGGGGTTGGGAAGGGAGCTATGCATTGAAGGCAATAGCTTAGATACACTATCACCATTCAGGGCACGTTCTGAAGCATGTCTTTTCACTTTGAAGGTGTAAGGCGCACGCCAAAAGAAGGTACGATAGTGGTAAGTTTATCTAAAAGGGCTTGTGCTTCGTCTTGGTCTTCAGAGGTGAGGACGATGTCATCTGCGTACTCGAAATCGACAAGGCTTTCACCAGCAACAATTTGAACACCGGCATTTTGAAGGCCGTCCAGTGTTCGCCTCATTATTTAATCAATGACGAGGGTGAACAAGAATGGAGAAAATGGACATCCTTGGCTGACACCATTTTTGTAGGGAAGCTTTTGAAGAGCTCGCCATACACTCCCACCCGATCAAGAGTATGTGAATATGGGGATCGGATTATGTTAACAAACTTCTGGGGCATACCCTATTGAGCAGATGTAGTTAACAACACTGATCGATCAACAGAAGTCAAGGAATACCAAGATTGTGGGTCGTCTGTACGTGGCGTTGCTCTAGCACTTGACAGTGTGAAGATGTGGTCAATGCAGCCTCTACCCGGTCGAAATCCCGCCTGATTCTCACGAGTCAAGACTTCGGGTACCGCCATAAGACGACAAAGAATCAATTACGCCAGAAGGCTTGTCACAACAGGCGTCAAACTAACACCTCTGTGGTTGCTACATTCACTGCGAGTACCCTTTTCGAAAATGGGCACCACTATCGATTCAACCCAGTCTGGGACGGTCTCCTTCCAGATAGACCTAAATAGGCTAGACAGGCACCGGCTGAGGAACCCACCGCCATCCTTGAAGAACAGGTGGAAGGTCGTCAGGACCAGCAGCACGATAACGCTTGAGTAGAGAAATAAATTCGGACATTTCTGAGGCTGAAAAGGCTCTGTATTCATGGTTCACCTTTCTATTGGGGGCTAGGATTCTGGATTGGTAGTAGCAGGTGGCCGGCTGAGTTGCCGCTCGAAGTACTGCGCAGCAGTTCGAACGTTCTGCTCTGCTGCATAGCAGGGAGCCAGTTTGGTCCCTGATTATTTCACTGACAAGAGGTTTCCGAGGGCCAGTCGACTCCCTAGCAGCACACGCAGTCCAAAATAACCGAGTTTTCCGGTTATACGACTGTTATATAACCGTCAAATAACCGACTTTAACCGCCATATGATAGACTAATAACCGAGTTGTGCTGCTAGGGATGATGCTATTACCACAAACTCGTAAACAACTTCTTGTTAGTTCGTCCCATAAAAATTGGACCTGCACGATAAATACCTCATTTTCGACTGTACAGTTATACATTGTCGCTGAATGGCGTTTGAGGTATCACTGATTTGTGTCAAAAACACTCATCACAAGCATCTAGAGACCGTGTAATTCACCGGGGATTACGCTTTAAAAAACGTTACACCTTAAACAAAGACGTGGTGGGACTGGAACAAACACTCAAAAACGCTGTTGCAGTGCATATATGAACCTTTCATGAACCCCTCATAAGCCACAAAAATAAAAAATCGAAAAGTTGTGGTAATAGTGATATTGTGGAGGTGGAGTTGTGGTGGCGGCCAGGTGGAATCCGTCACAGGGTCTCCAGCAGAGACACAGTCCTATCAGAGAGCTCATGCTTGATTGAGGTTGGCTGGGTAGTACCGCAAGCAGACATTTCGGCTTTGCGTACGGCTTTGGATTGTTTTCCCAAGTGGCGGTTTATATTCGACACCGGACCGTCCGACCGGCACTGATATCTTCGTCTGACTTCTGGTTCTACTAGCTTCTCAATGGCTAAGTGAACCATGCGCAATTCGCGTACACCTGCAAAGCGCAATGAAAAGGCCAGCCGTCCCTCACTACCGAAAAGCACATCATCGGGACGGAT